CTCTCTAACTCTCTTTAGGAGGTCGCTATAGATAGGGTCCTGCGTATGCGCTTGTTTCATTTTCTCCTGCAGGTCTCTCCCTATATCCAGATAATGTACTACGGCTCCAAAGTAGTCTGATCTCCTACTTAGAGCATCCACCACTACATTGTACTTGCCCTTCACTGGCTTGAGCTCAAAGTCGAATTGGTCTATCTCTGCGGCCCACCTAGTCAACTTAGGTGTCATCTTGGCCTGTGTCTTCAACCATCTAAGTGTTTCATGGTCCGAGTAGACTTTGAAGTGCCTCCCAAGCAGGTAGTGCTTCCAATGGTCTAAAGCCTGCCTGAGGGCATAGAGTTCTCTTTCGTACGTGGAGGTAGCGACTTTCTCACAAGGCATCCTCGCGGACATGAACTCTACGGGTCTATAGCCATTGCCGTCATCTTGTTGCAACACGGCGCCTATCCCATACCGACTCGCGTCCGTGGTGACGACAAATGGCAAGGACGGGTCTGCAACCTTGAGGACAGGATACTCTATTAACGCGCGCTTTAACTTTTTGAGCGCAGACGTACAGTCTTTATCCCATTGCCAGATTGTCTCTTTCTTCAACAACCTGCGCAAGGGAGCGGCGATAGTGGAGAAGTTCCTCACGAACTTTCTATAATAGTTAGCTAAGCCTAGGAACGACCGCAACTCTGTCAATGTGGGGGGCGTCGGCCAATCTCTGATCGCCGCGATCTTGCTGTCCTTTGGCTTAATGCCATCTCCGTCCAACACGTGGCCCAAGTATAAGACTTGCGTCTTGGCCCACTCGCACTTCTTCGCGTTGATCTTGAAGTTAACCTCTCTCAGCTTCTCCAAGACCTGCCTCAGATGACCCTGGTGCTCCTGGAGGGTCTTACTAAAGACTAGGATATCATCTAAGTAGACTACTACAAATTTATCTAACCATGGTCTAAGCAAGTCATTCATACAATGCTGAAAAGTAGCTGGCGCGTTGGTCAGTCCAAAGGGCATCGCTATAAACTCATAATGCGCATATCTAGTCCGGAATGCAATCTTGTTCTGATCATCAGGATGGACTTCTATCTGATGGTATCCGGACTTTAAGTCTATCTTAGAGAAATACTTATAACCCTGTACTCGATCTAAAAGATCGTCTATCCTGGGCAGCGGCTCAACATTCTTCACTGTGATCGCGTTCAAACCCCTATAGTCTATACACATACAAAGCTCTCCTTCCTTCTTGGGGACAAACAAAACGGGTGCTCCAAAAGGAGACGAACTGGGCCTGATCCAACCTTTCTCAAGGAGTTCGTTTAACTGCTTGCGGAGCTCCTCTAACTCTCTAGGGGACATCCTGTAGACTGCACCCTTAGGAGTTCTACTGTCAGACTCTATCTCTATCCTGTGTTGGATGGGTCGCGACAGTACTCCTGTCGGCGACTCAGTCAAGCCTTTGAATTCTTCCAGCAGCTTGGCAATTGTTGGATTTGTGGAACTATCCTTTTTCTGGGCCTGAGTGACATGTGTGACATATACTACAAAGACCTGGTCTTCTAACTGCTCCTTTACTAATCGCGCGAATGCGGGAACACTGAGACAACAATGTGTCAAGGTGTTATCTACACCAGACACATGGAACAAGCGGGCAGTTTTAACTTCGCCCGCCGGACTAGGGAGCCTACACTCATGCTCTCTCAAATGAAGTGTGGCCCCTGCTGCCTCTCCCCAATCCATTCCCAACACTATATCAAAAGGAAGATCATCTTGTACGAGGAGAGTCAGGGAATGAAGAACTTTCTCCACCTTCCCATCCTTCTCTAGGCGAAAGTACGCCTGGACTCCCTCTACATAGTCCCCAACGCGCATCGTGCGGTTGTCTGCGAGGACACTGACTATGGGGTCTACTAATTTCTGGACCTTTAGTCCTAGCCTCAGCTTCCTCAGCGCCCTACGGCTAATATAACTACGGGTAACCCCTTAGTCTATGAGGGCCCCTACTCTACTCCTAAACACCTCTACATCTACTAAGATCAGTTGTCCCTTACTCTCCTTTTTCATTTTGGCCCAGCCTGGCATCCTCTCCTTTAACTCTTCTGCCACACCTGTGAGGGGCGTGCCTAAAGAGACGCTAACACAAGCAGTCTCTGGACAACTATCTAGGCACGGGCCTTTAACCTCTGTCATAGGCTCATGTGGGTTGGGAGTGTCCTGTTCGCGCGCGCTCACTTCTCCACATGGCCTTGAAGTAGGGGCAGTTGCGACCCCTATTGACTGTTGGGCAGCCCAACGGACCTGTCTATACTTAGGACAAAATTTAATTACGTGCGCCAGGTCACCACAAAATACGCACTGACCCATGTTCACGCGTTCCTGCCATAATTGTCGGTCCAAGCCCAAGTCTTCCCAGGGCTTGCCCTGTGGCAATTCTGGGTGCCAACCTCCTTGAGATGCCCTTCCACCTCATCGTTGTGGGGACCGATTACCATGGCGATTTAACGGGGGACCTTGACCCCTACCTCCCGCTTGGCGGTTTCCCTGTCCGCCAACCCCCTGTGCGCCCGGTCCTCGGTCTCCCATGACCTTGCCCCTTTGGCCCTGGCCTCCTCCTCCTCCTTGCGGCCTCCCTCCAGTCGCGACAACAGCGTAAGACCTCCCCTGCCCCACACTACTGCCATCATCTTCAAGGCCCCACTCAATCTGGTCATATGGGACCTCATCGGTACCACCTTCTTCTAATGTCAGGATCATGTGATCCTTGGCCTTTACTTGGCCTGAGATGGTACGATTCTTCCACTTCTTCCCCTTCTCTAAGTCCTTATGCCAGAAAGT